TAAAGCATCTCCAGCAGAGGAGGCTGGTGGGAGGAGCTATAGGAGGACGGGCTCATTGTAATGGCTGGGATGGAATAAATGGAAAGGTATCAAACACAATCTTATGGAAACCACATGTTTGACTCCATTTCATTTAATCCATTCCATCCATTACAATGAGCCCATCCTCCTATAGCTCCTCCCACCAGCCTCCTCTGGTCTCTAGTCCACGTCATCTTATTCATTATTTTCTAAAAGGCTAAACTGATCCTAGTGGTCCTACTCTGAGACTCTTTATGAATATGAGTGCAGAACTGTTGCCTTTAGTACATGAGGTAGTTTCCCAGTTTAGTCACAAAGTTCATGCAGTTTATGACCTGTTTTCCCCTACACTGGCTGTACACTGCCCTCTAGTGCCAGCGTAGAAGAACAACATGCAGTACTCCTATGGGAAATGCAGTTTTTGTCAGAATTTGTGTCCCTTGATAACCATTCAACTTTTTTTCCCCGATTGTCTTCAGCATTATGTTAATCATCAATTAGAATAATGAGAAATTGTGACCCAGCCAAAGGTGAACAATGAACTAAAACAGGATTGACTGGTGTGTTTGTGGTCAGTGGCAAATAACAACAACCTTGTAATGATACTGCTGTATGTCCTTAGATAATATTTAGACAATGAATGTACACAAAAAAGGTGTGATTTGAGTGCAATGACAAATGCATGCTAGCAGATACCCATAGACTTCCAGTCTTGCGCTAACACTAGTTAGCATTGGCTCGCGAAGCTACCTCCAACTTCTTTCAAACGGGACACAGAGACATAAAATGGTATCCACAAGTTCATCCAACTCTGGGGAAGTAGATAAAGGGCCTCATTGCCAAAATCCTGAAGAATCCCCTTTTGGGAAACTGGGGCAACTTGCAAAGTCTAAGACAGAGCAACAAAGCAAAACTGACAAAGGTTGAACCTTCAGCAGTTTTGTCCCCTAAGCGTTTAACACCACACTCAATTCAATTAATCTGGTGTCAGACTTTAATTTGACTGGCTGTTAGGAGAATCCACAAGGCATGGTAAAGTGTTATTTACAGTTAGCCTCAAACAGATGTGGGCTATGTTGTTTAAATAGTCATAGAGAGTCCTTGGGGATCCTCCCTGGTAATTGCATGTATATAAATGCCTAACCTGTTATGCTTGAAAGGAGAGCTGAACATGATTGTTGTGGTTTGCAGTCACCAAAGGTCACAGGCTTTAAATATAGCAAATGGAAGAGCTTGGGTGACTGTTTTATTTTGGATAATGGTGTCATGAAACAAATGGACTTCTCAGAATGAAGTACTATCACAGCAGCTAGGGGCATTAAAGATATGACCTATGGCGGTCAGAGACAACTGAGAACTGTCAGAACTCAGAGTTGTTCACAATTAAACTGTCCATGATGCCAAACATGGATTTAATACAAAGATACATAGTTTGCAATGGCTACGTGATATTAATTTTTTTTCTGAAAGTGCATTTTTTTATTAGTAAATGTCGGATAGACCTACATGTCATTGTTGGGCATTTCCTGTTTGGCATGCCTTCTATGTGAAGCAGAGCATTTGGCTTACCATTGCACACAGTTTGGAATTAATTTACAGTAAATGGGGCATATAAATATGTAATTTCCCAGGAGATTTAGGAAATTACAAAGTCAAAATAGATTTTCTGTTACTTTCCTCTTCACACTATTGCATGCCATAATAATATAATATAATATAATATGCCATTTAGCAGACGCTTTTATCCAAAGCGACTTACAGTCATGTGTGCATACATTTTTACGTATGGGTGGTCCCGGGGATCGAACCCACTACCCTGGCATTACAAACGCCATGCTCTCCCAATTGAGCAACAGAGGACCACATGCCATGTCTGTACATAGTAATTTTTCAATTTTCTCTCCCCTATTGAAATGTATAGAACCAATGCGTTACCCCTGGCTGTGTAAATTGCCTTTTGTAAACATTTTATGACACGCTTCTGCTTAATACATCCCTCATATTAATGAACCATTTTATGAGGCCTAGGAGCCAATTATAAGAGAGGAAAACACAACCTATTAGCTGTTCTGTAGAGGTGCCCTTTACATATGTGGCCACACATTAATTCAAACGGTTGCAATATCACCATTCTTTAAGTCACATCTTATTGGGGCAATGCTTTCAATCAAGGCTTTACTAATGACATTTTTGGGATACAGATGACATGAAAAGGTTGGCACTTGCTTCAATGATAAGCAATGTTTCAATTACTCTTTTGTTGAAAGTTGACTACAGATCTTTATCATCCATTGGAATTGATATACTTAAGTATGCATCAGTTATTTTGCTTCAAACCACTTTTTCTTGTCATTTGTACAATATCCAATTACTGACACAGTAGTTTCAGATTTAATGGAGAATTTAATAGAAAACAAAGCAGATTTTTACTACCAAACTGAGATTAAAAGTGATTGTTGCATTTGCATGGTTTGCTGCTATATACACGGTTTACATTAACATTTTAGTCATTTAGCAGACACTTATCCAGAGCGACTTACAGTTAGTGCATTCATATTAAGATAGCTAGGTGAGACAGCCACATATCACAGTCGTATTTGCGGGGGGATAAAACAGATGTCTTATTTAAGATATTCTTTGAAGAGGTAGGGTTTCATATGTTTTTGGAAGATGGACAGGGACTCTGCTGTCCTAACATCAGGGGGAAGCTCGTTCCACTATTGGGGTGTCAGGACAGAGAAGAGCTTTGACTGGGTTGAGTGTGAGCTGACCTCCAGTAGGGGTGGGACTGCCAAGAGACCATAGGTGGCAGAACGGAGTGCTCGGGTTGGAATGTAGGGTTTGAGCATAGCCTGAAGATGAGAGGGGCAGTTCTCCTTGCTGGTCCGTGGCAAGCACCGTGGTCATTGACTGGAAGCCAATGACGTGTACAGAGGAGAGGGATTTGAATGAATAACTATGCATACCTTTTGGCCTCCACTCCCCTTAAGAACCACCATTTAAACGACACTGGCCACTCCAGTAGGTGCTGCACTGACCATAAGCAATTAACTGCTTTAACTGTTGTTGTTTACGGCCCATTATAAATAGCCCATTATAAATCGCAATCTGGGTCAGGTGGGCATCAATTAGCAGGAGGGATGGGGGCAACTTCTTGTCGTGCGAGGTGCTCAAGTTCAGAACGGCTGTCAGTCAAAACCCATACAGAGCTGTGAGGCGCAGAGCCTGAGCGCTGACGTCATGTATAGCATGTTACTGTGCAGCCCAAATGTTCAACCCGTATACAGGTACGAGTGTAAAGGGTTAAAGCTATACAGTGTTTATTAATAATTACATTGTTTACAAACAATAGAATAAATACTTTGGGTTCTAATGGGGTATGACAGTTGAACTAAGCTTATGAGGCATTTATAAGGTATATTCTTCAATAATCTATGGGTATATGTATATCATTAATTTAAAAGTCAAAAAATGGATGTAGCAATCACACATTGCACCTTTAACTTTTTCCAAATCATACTAATTTGACTAATAACCACATACGTAGAGTATTTACATGTCTTTCACTCTTTTTAGTTTTATCACAGTGGTAATTGTATCGCTCCATTACTAGATGCAGTCTATTTATAGTTGATTTACTACAGCTTTATAAAGTGAAGGGTTATTGCAGTAGTATGTTATATAATCTACAGTGCATTCAGCATGTTCTAAATGTATCCACCACATTGTATTTCTCAAATATTTAGCAATCTTGCTCTTAAGATTCTAGAGATTGGTAAATGTAATTTCAATAAGTACAGTAACATAATATCACTGTGCCAACAGTACACAAGGGACACAGTTATATTAAATAAGTATCAATGCCATATATTTCCCTATTAGTTCAGCTATTGTACCTCAACCGATGATTGAGTTATGGAGTTGACGTGGTTTGGAGCTGTAGATACAGTACCACTGTCATCCAAAGTGCCAGAGAAGGTCAGTGGTAACTCCTGCACTTAAACACCCCCTGCTGCTTGGCTATTCTGAACGTCTGGGTTACGGCTCTGACCGAAGCAGCAATTTGCATTGTTGGGTCACACAACGAGCACCTGTTGTGGTATGTTCACTGGTGGACACTGTGTGCTCTGATGTCACAGTGGAGAGATGTGGAGAGATGACCTGTCAGGATTGTCCACACTGGCTGGTAACACTGGCATTTGGATATAGTAGCCAATGGGAGCATTGGGTTAACATGTGAATACAGTGGTGATTTTCTATGTTGACCTTTTTGTCAGCAGTTGCACCGAAAATGTATGGTGTGGATTAGTATTGTAAGGTATTGTTGTGCCGTCATCTAAGTTAATGACATCTAAATAGCGGTACTGCAGTGGTACACATTTGTAGCATTTGGACTTGTATCAATAAAGACCTTATTTGACTTTGGACTCCTCACTGCAAGTGGAACAGAAGACTTTGGCTGAGCTTCCCTGAAGAGTAACCTTGTCTGAGACCCAAAGACTCAAGTTGGAATCAGAGCTAATGCCTAGGCTTAACGCGTCACTAACATCATCCTAAGTCTTGCCAATGACCAGGGACCCGATACCCACTTGATTAAACATACTCAAACTGTTTGAATGACTGTCCTCATAGTCCAAGAAAACCATGGGGAAGGTTTTCTGTCTTTTATCCAAGTAGATGTCCAATTGAAAATGGGACCTACAGTCAATGTAGAGTTTGAACCTGGGTATCTTGCGTGGCAAACGGCTGCATTAGCCTGCTGAGATAGTCTAGCTCTAGGTATTAAATTGGCGAGCTAACACAAGCCTTCAGATCTCAGGAAATGTTACTCATCACGCAACAGTGGTTCACCAAAATCACCTTTGTTACTTACAGTAAATACAGTAACCTGAGAAATTGGTGTAGCACCAGGTAAAGGAAAAAGAAAGACATATTGTGAGGCATGTCATTGTGACTCACCACCGTTTGCCATCCCATAGGTGGAAGAGGGCGGTCGTGCGTCCCTGGCCGGGATCTGCGAGGGGGACGAGGTGGTGTCGCTGAATGGAGAACCCTGCGGCGAGCTTTCCCTCCCAAAAGCAATTGCTCTCATTGACGCCTCCGTCGACTGCCTGCAACTACTGGTTAAAAGGTAACCTCAAGCGCTGGATTTTTTACTATTAACTGCAACATTGTTTCTCAATCAATTTTTGATGGGAGAAGTCAGGGTGTGCACATCATCTCAACCTCGGGGTGCTACCAGGATTGGGGTCAATTTGAATTGAAGGCAGTCAATTCAGAAAGTGATATGCCCTTTTTTCAATTACTGAATTCAGTTGACTTCTTTAATTGACTTTAATTCAAATACACCCCAAACCTGGGTGCTACCGGTTTATCAAGGTTTAACCATCCCCAACTCAATTCTCTCAAAACCTACTGCTGCATTGGTCTGATTAACTGGGCCATGAACTACAAAGCATGGTTCAACACAACAAGCACCAGTGTATTTGCCTTTAGACAACATGACCTGCCCTTGTACACAGTTGCGTGGCCTGGAATATGGTAAGCAGACGGACAGATAGAGTGGCTTTATTGGCAAGTGTGTTGACCTTTGAGTGGCTTGGCTGCTGACGAACCAGCTGCCCGCTCAACAAGCAGCTGTTAAACAGTTACTCAGCGGGCATCACACACCGTGTGCCATGGGATATTGGTGCCAATGCCCATATGTAAGGCATCATTTAGGTCACCCGGCGGGCACACAGTCCCTTTGAAAGTGGATCTTGTTACTCTAAAGTGGCTACCCGTCTTATTTCCCCATCATGCATAGCACTCTGACGTCAACAGACTCGATGGGTGAAAAGCAATATGGTGGCAAAGCTTCTTAGCCAATTGTAGGACTTTAACCATGCCACTTCAAGTCTCTGGTGATAGAAGAAACACAGACCAGCTCACACTCAAGATTTGGTTCTGAGTGCAGAGATTATGCAACTTTGAACATATCTCTCATCCTCTTCCCTTTGGTTGCTGGGCTCCAATTGACTCCAATGCAATAACTGTGGTCACAGAATGACATTCTGTTTTCCTCTATGACGCTGAAAGGGGAAATTAAGTGGGGCCCAATTGAAATGTGATTACTTTCCACTTCAGTGCTTCACTCCAGTCATTTAACATGAGGGACGGAGATTGAGTTTGCTTGATTAAGGTGGCCACTTGAGGGCCAGCGGTTGATGAGATGGCTTTAGTTAACACAAAGGGCAAGTGCTCTGGTGCGCAGCACAATATTCAATGATATTGCATATTGGAAATCCAGAAACACTATAGTTTTGTTATTAGATGTTCTATGCCAGTCCCCAGATAACAGACATATAAACACAGTATGCACAGTTTCATCACTTTGCTAAGTACTAACAATTTTCATTGAACTATTGTATGATGTGTTATGCTCTTCACTCCCCCCCCCCCCCCCCCCCTTCATACAGATGGCGCACCCTATCTCCCAAGGATTTTCATTCAGAGGAGACCTACTTTGGCACAAGGGAGTCCTCCCTTCGCATCCTGTCCCCTGGCAGGTCCCAACCACCCAGGGAGCTCTACATCGCCGATTCCCAGGACGAGGCCTATTATGGGGTGACGGAGAGCGACACGGAGGCCCCCGGAGGGATCCACCTGGTCCGCACCCAGCTCTACGTACCCGCGCCTGAGGAGTGCCAGTTCCCCAGAGGAAGAGGGGACAAAGGTCGAGCGGGACCCCATGGGGGAAGTTTCTCCCCGGGGGCAATGGTGGAGCTACAGTTGTCCCTCGCCGAACACACCCTGGAGGATCCTGTCTGCACCTCCCTGGGGAGTGCTCTTGGAATAGAGGGGGAGATTCAGGCGAGAGAGGCCCTCAAGAACGAGGCCCTCCTTCACACCACCACCCACTCTCTCTACGTCCCTGGCCCAGCTAGGGAGCCCCTGGGTCAGCATGGAGTGGTGCTGAGCTCCCCCTCTCTGCTAGGCCAGGTGGAGGTCACCCTACAGCACCCAGCAGCCGGGAGGGGCTCTCCTCGCCTGGTAGAGGGGATGGGCGCCTATGGGGCCAGTGGAGGTGTTGGTGGAGCCCCCGGGAAGGAAGGAGGAGGGAAAAGCCAGGGAGCTCCCACCTCCTTCACCGTCTCCTTTGGAATGCCCGCAGAGGGGGCGGAGCCGGCAGAGGAGCGAGACTCTGATTCAGAGAAGGACCTTGAGAAACCCAACAAGCACCGGGCCAAGCACGCCAGTGAGTACCCCATACCTTTTCCCTTACACTTATCTCACTGCCACTAGTCATCCTTTGTGTGTGTATGAGTGTTAAATTAGTATTGTCTTATAGGGTGCACTGACTCAGACCTTAATAGCAGACTGAGATAGCAATGCTGTGAACTGCATTTGTTAATGCAACTCTGGGTGGCATGTGTGCATTCCTTAGCCCGGTGCTCTGGTGCACACTAAAATGTGCCCCCCAAAATAGTAGATGATCTCTCTTACTTGGGAAGGGTTTGTTTGGATTGAAGCCTAAATTATACTAGTAGTGTCCAGTTTGTAGTATCCAAGATCACTGAAGGCAGGATTGTGGCAATATACTGTATAGATAGATTAGATAGATAGATTAGATAGATTAGATAGATTAGATAGATTAGATAGATAGATAGATAGATAGATAGATAGATAGATAGATAGATAGATAGATAGATAGATAGATAGATAGATAGATAGAAAGAGGGGATGAGAAGAAACAATTCTCATAAAAAATATATACATTTAAAAAATGCCCTATCAAATGTTTTCCTCTAGCTTTGAATAGGGGCCTGATGAGGATGTGTCTTCCAGAGATAGATAGGGCATTACATTGAGCCGTGCAGGGGGACATAAATCAAACCCCAGCGCGTTGATGATGCCTGCAGAAGTGCTCTTTGACGGACACCAGCATATGCTGCACTGCCCCGTTACCCGATCCTTTAAAACTGCATGTCTTAGCCTGCGCCTTAAAGAGAGCTTCGCTCACTACTCCACGTCTTCCTCCACCTTGAGGTTAGTCTACTGGGGGAAATACAAATGTAAGGATGGTTTCTTTTATAAATCACCGCTTTGTGTTTGTGTATGTGTGTGTATGGTTGGGGCCGTTAAAGAGTTTGTGGACATGCCTGTCGTCGCCTCGGGTTCAGGTGACAGATCCGTGAGTGGATTTACAGAAAAGGGGGAAAGGTGCTTGGGTGCTGGTGAACGCACTTCTGTCCCACAGGCTAATTTAAATATTTTCTATGCTCTGCCATTGGCTCAAACTAATTGGGCCACCCGTTGAATAGGCTGTCACAGCTGTGTTAATATCATGTATTATCGGGAAACAAACGAGGAGTATATTAGGCATGGGTCAGATAATTAGGTAATTGCTTTGCATGTTAATTGAATAGAGATTGTGTAGATTGAATGATCAAATCTGTGATTTATATATATATTTTTTTATTTTATTTATTTAACCTTTATATAACCAGGTAAGCCAGTTGAGAACAAGTTCTCATTTACAACTGCGACCTGGCCAAGATAAAGCAAAGCAGTGCGATAAAAACAACAACACAGAGTTACATATGGGGTAAACAAAACATAAAGTCCAAAATACAACAGAAAATATATATACAGTGTGTGCAAATGTAGCAAGTTATGGAGGTAAGGAAATAAATAGGCCATAGTGCAAAATAATTACAAATCTTGGCACTGAGGTAAAGGGCTTTGAAGACCAATTATAAGATTAGGACCAGGAAAGTGTTGAGTGAATGATGTCTATGAAAATATCAATTTATAGGTTATTGATTGCATTTGTCATTTGAGGGAGTTTTACAAATTCGTTTTTGATTGAAATATTTCAATATAATGGGCTGAGTCAAATTGTCTGCATTGATATTTAGCTTATGCTGCCTTTAAGTAACTAATAACATGATTTGAGTTTGCAGTTTGTCAACATTTTTGCCATTTGGCATGTCTGCCATTTAAAGAGTAATTGTTTATATAAAGTGAAAGTGAAATATCAGTGAAAGTGACTAGTGAGTGGTTGCGTTAATGTATTTAGATATGTTTTCACAATGCCATTAGGGTGGATGTTCAGTGTTAAGATGTATTCAAGATTATCATAAACTTGAGAAAATGTGGTTGCAGTACTGGTATCTGACAACAGTGCAACTTTGTGTGGCAAACATAAATCAAACAACGGAAAAGTAATGAATCAAAGTAATTCAAACTGCAGATAAAATACAGTGAGCTCCAAATGTATTGGGAAAGTGACAATTTTTGTTGTTGTTTTGGCTCTGTACTCCAGCACTTTTTTTTAAAATGATACAATGACTATTTAATTTGAGGGTATTTTCATCCATATCGGGTGAACCGTTAAGAAATTACAGCACTTTTTGTACATACTGTAGTCCCCCCATTTTAGGGGACCAAAAGTATTGGGACAAATTCACGTATATGTGTATTAAAGTAGTAGAATGTTAAGTATTTGGTCCCATATTCCTAGCACGCAATGATTTCATCAATCTTGTGACTCTACACATTTGTTGGATGCATTTGCTGTTTATTTTGGTTGTGTTTCAGAGGATTTTGTGGACAACAGAAATGAATGGGAAATAATGTATTGTGTAATTCTGGAGTCACTTTGTTTGTAAATAAGAATAGAATATGTTTCTAATCACTTCTACATAAATGTGGATTCTACCACGATTACAGATAATCCTGAATGCATCATGAATAATGATGAGTGAGAAAGTTACAGAAGCATAAATATCATACCCAAGACATGCTAACCTCTCACCATTACAATAACAGGGGACGTATGATATTTGTGTGTCTAATTTTCTCACTCATTATTCATGATTCATTCAGTATTAGCCGTAATCACCATAGCATCCACATTAATGTAGAAGTGTTTAGAAACATATTCCATTCTTATTTACAATAAAGTGACTCCAAAATGACACAATACATTATTTAGCATTCATTTCTATTGGGCACAAAATAATCTGAAACACAACCAAAACACAACCAAAAATACTAAACTTTTTACTACTTTAATACACATGTGAATTTGTCCCAATACTTTTGGTCAACTAAAATAGTGGGACTCTGTACAAAAAGTGCTGTAATTTCTAAATGGTTCACCCGATATGGATGAAAATGCCCTCAAATTAAATTCGAAGTGCTTGAGTACAGAGCCAAAACAACAAAAAATGTGTCACCATCCCAATACTTTTGGAGCTCAGATAGGAAGGGATTAATTTATAATATTTTACATGTTTTAAGAATGCATGATATTTTTACGATGCATGTGCATCCAAATTGAATGATTTGTGGTGGTTTCAGTTCTACCCAAGCTATTATTACCCATAATATGCAATTAAATGAACTAGACAACAAAAAGCAACCATTTGAAATATCCCTCTTCTCTCTCCCTCTACCCTCTCTTTTCCTCTCCCTCTCGCAGGGCTCAGGCGCAGTGAGAGCCTGTCAGACAAGCAGGTGAAGGAGGCTAAGTCTAAATGTAAGCGCATTGCTATCCTTCTGAATGCTGAAGCTCCCAACCCCAACAACAAGGGGGTGTTGATGTTCAAGAGGCATCGACAGAGGGCCAAGAAGTACACACTCGTCAGCTACGGCACCGGTGAGAGCGAACCAGAGTACGAGGACGACGACAGCGACGACGAAGAAGACTACGACAAAAAAGACGCCAGAGCGATCGAATTCACCCTTGTAGCCACCTCCAGCGGATCAGAGCTCGAGGAGGACTTCATCACCAATGCCCAGGGCGGTGGCAGAGTGCTAACCTTCGACTGGGACACAGGACTACTCGAGATCGAGCGCAAGCTCAACTCCAGAGAGGAGATGGAGCAACTGCCCAACACCACAGGCAAGGGGGGCACAATGTTCGCTCAGCGCCGCCAGCGCATGGACGAGATCGCAGGCGAACATGAGGAGATGAGGCGCCAGGGGATTCCCGTGGAGGGGGTACGGGAGGTGCAGAAGCATGCAGCCTACCAGCAGATGGAGGAGCGCTCGTACATGCAGGCCACCACAGAGAGCCAGGCCTACATGGACTTTAGCGTGCACCAAAAGCAACAGCAACAGCAACAGTATCAAAAGTACCAAGAGCAGCAGTACTACGAGCAGCAACAGCAGCAATACCAGCAGCAACAACAGTACGAGCAGCAGCAATACCAGCAGCAACAACAATATCATCAACAACAGCAGCAGCAGTACCACCAGCAGCAAGAGTACCAACAACAGCAGCACATTCAGCAGTACTCGTCTAACATGAATGGCGTAGCCAACCACCAAACCAATGAAATGCAGAGTTCCATGAGCAATCGAACTGCCCAACCCTTCTCATTACAAAACCGGATGTCCGCCCTGTTTTCTCCCCCTGTGACTGGGAACAACCAAGAGACGATGGGTCAGGGGGAGCAGATTGCCTCACGTGACGAGCGCATTTCGACGCCGGCAATCAAGTCTGGGATCTTGCAGGACACAAGGAACAGGTTCAAGGGCAAGCCAATGTTCAATTTCAAACAAGCACCCAAAGTGTCACCCAACCCCGAGCTTCTAAATCTCCTCAACAGGAGTGACAAGAAGTTGGATTTCGAGTCATGCACGGAAGAGGACTACCTTAGCTTGGGAGCTGAGGCTTGCAACTTCCTCCAGTCACCAAGGGTCAAGCATAAGATGCCTCCACCAGTCGCTCCCAAGCCCATCATTAACCCCAACTCTCCGCCCTGGTCCCCTCAGCCTGAGCTGGCCAAGCAGGAGTTGCCACTGCATACTGAAAATAGCGTCCCTGCACCTGCTGCAGCCCCCGAGACCGAGTCCGCCCCTGCTCCAGATCTGGCCCCAGAGCCCTCCCCCCCTCTTGAACCCCAGGAAGCTACTGTTCCTGCCAAGCCCCCCTCTCCAGACAAACACAGATATAGTCCCCCAGTGTCCCAGGCACAGCAGCAGCAGCCCCAACAAGCGCCAGCCTGGGGAGGAAATGGTCCTTCTCCAACTCAGCCTCATTCGCAACCGGAGCCTCAAGTGAGTTCCTGGGCTCCGTCACTGACACAGGCTTCACAGCAGCCACTTGTGAGTACTTGGCCACCTGCTGAAATGAACCAGCAGGCTCCAGCTCCAAGTCAGTCCCCACCACAGCTCCCTTGGGTGACTCCCCAACCACCTCCTCCTCAGCCTCAGCCTCAGCCACCCATGAATTCTTGGGCTCCAGCACCTGCCCAGTCACAACCCCAATGGGTTCAACCTCAAGAACAGCAACAGCCCCAGGCACCTTGGGCTCAACCTCAAGAACAAGCACAGCAACAGCCCCAGCCACCTTGGGCTCAACAACCTCAGCCTCAGTCTCCACAACAGGCTTGGCCCCAGGCCCAAACCCAGGCCCAACCTCAGCCACCTTGGATGTCATCACCTCAGCCTCCAATGAATGCATGGACAACACCACAGAGCCAGGCCCAGCCACAACAGCCACCTTGGGCCCAACCAGCCCAACCCCAACATCCAGCTCAGCCCCAACCCCCTATGAATGCATGGGCCCCAGCACCTGCTCAGGCTCAGGTCCAGCCTCCCTGGGCCCAGCAACCTCAAGAGCAAGCACAGCCACCCATGAATGCCTGGGCCCCAGATCAGAATCAGGCCCGGCCACAGCCACCTTGGGTCCAACCACCTTCAACCCAATCCCCACCCCAGCAAAACTGGCAACAGCCACATCCACAGCAGGCATCCCTACAGCCATCTATGAATGCATGGGCCCCAGCTCAGGCACAGCCTCAGACACACACAAGTACCTGGGCCCCACAACCACAGCAAGCCCCAGTGAATACTCAGACCCGAATGGACAGAGTGTGTCAACCTTCTCCAAAACCTTGGAATGCTCCACAAAGTGCTCCCCGTTCTACTCCCCCACCTCCCCCACAGCGAAATAACTCTTACACACTTGGCGAAAGGTCCTCGTCACCCATCATCAATCCAATGGCCAGCGTTTTGTCACCAGCAGGAGGAATGGGCTCGGCTTTGTCGATGCCGGCTGTTAGGGGGAAAGGAGCCGATTTGTTTGCCAAGAGGCAGTCTCGTATGGAGAAGTATGTTGTGGATTCGGACACTGTGCTGGCAGCCACTGCACAGGCAGCTCAGCAAGCCCAGGCAGCCACTGCGCAGGCAAACAAGGCAAGGCCCACGTCGCCCTCTCCCTCCGTACCACATTCATGGAAATATTCACCCAATTGCAGAGCTCCCCCTACATCGAATTACAACCCCATACAGTCTCCTTCCTACCCACCAGGGGCCATTAAGCAACCCCCTCCATCTAGCCCTGCAGCCAAAGCCAAGAAAGGGAAAGGCAAACCTGCCTGCAAACCCCTTGCTGTTATAGATGTCATGAAACATCAGCCTTATCAGCTCAATGCCTCCCTCTTTACTTACGGCCCAGCAGTGGAGGCTGCCGAGGCTGCCAAGGCAGCTGCACCAAAGCCTGCCCCAGCTCCTGCCCCAGTCCCTCCAAACCAAAACCCACCAATAAAATATGAGCAAGCTGTTCCTGTCCAGCCGGCTGGACCAATGAATGCTCCCTATCCACAGCAGCACCAGCAGCTCTACGGGATTCCCCCTCAACCACCCATGCATGATAGTCCCTACCCCCAAGCCTCACCTAATGCTTACCAGCCATCTAACAATCCCTACCAGCAGGTTCCTGCCGGTTCTTACCAACATCCATATAATCCCCCTTACCAACAACCCCCTCCAGCCCCTTATCAACCCCATCCCCAGCACCAAGCTCCAAACCCTTCTTACCAACAGACCCCCCAAGGTCCTTATCAGCCAGCCCATAGCCCCCCCTACCAAGTGGCACCCCAAGCCCCCTACCAGCCACTACCTCCCAGTACCTATGTGGTGCCCAGCTTTCCCATAGCGGCAAAGTCTGAGTCCATCTCTGGGGGCAGCACAGCTCCAAAGCCCAGGTTCATGGCCAAAAAGAGTTCAGCCCAGGTGTGGAAGCCAGCAGCTGCGGAGAAAGAATGATTCTGAAAGCATGATTAAGTGATCTTTGCTTAAAACAACATTAGATCTAGTTACAACATATACATGCACAGTACATTCATGCAAATGCAATATATTAATAGAAAGCTTTTAAGATGCCTTTTCTCAACATTTTATAGCCAACATATCTTTTTAAATAAATGGCACAATGAAAAACGCTAGAATTTAAAAAAGGCCCGATGCAGCCGTTTTGATCTCAATATCAAATCATTTCTGGGTAACAATTAAGTACCTTACTGTGATTGTTTTAAATCAAAATGGTCAAAAACAAACAAATTGCTTCTTAGCAAAGAGCTATTTCTCAAGCAAGACTTTTGCTAGGACTGTCTGGGAGTGGTCTAAGTGAGGGGCCTAATTGGACGAGCCTAATGGGAGGTTTACGTAACCTGAAAACTAGCTGTTATTGGCAGAGAGGTTTGAAAACTCTTTGTTATTGGTCTATTAACTTTTACTGCCTGGTGATGTTGCCAGGCAGGCCAAAACTCCATCCCACCAAAACAGGCTGAAATTTCAGGTGGTCTTTTCAAACAGCTCTTACACTAAAATGGCATTTCACAATTCAACGGTATTATTCCAACCTCATACTGTGGAAATATATATATAAAACACAGAAAAATCACGTTTTTGACTGCACTGGGCCTTTAAGATATAAAGTTTGAATGTAGTTTTCCACCTGCTATGCATTCACTCTTTACATGTATACAACTATATAGCATCTTGGTTTTACAAGCAAAGCTTTTCAATGTTAGTTTCTTTGCAATATTGCAACGCACAATACATTGAAAATTAAATATATTATATTGGTATATCTTAATTATCTAAGCCAAAAAAGGGTAAAATATAGTTTTTCAGGAAATCAACTAAATGCTTTCAATGGACTTATGACGTGAATCAGTCTTGATTCATTGGAGCCTGTGAGCAGGCATTGCCAGAATGTGAGCGAGGATAATAGCCAGCAAGAATTCAGAGGAACAGGTGAATGTATATTGCTGAGAAAGTTGAAATTGGAAATGAGAGAAGCTTGAAAGGGAATTTAAGAAAAGGTTGGATCTTCTGAGTACTAAGGTGGTTTGTGAGCCAGTGACAAGTTTGATAAGATCTTCTGCAATATCAACAGTGTATTTGTTAGCTGTCAAGATGTGCAATAATTTGTCAAAATTGACCTTGATGACAAAAAGACAAGACTGAATGATCTGAGAAAAAATGTATTTGTAGCAACTAAGAGGTTTAAGACATCGAGAGCTTGGGGCGATAAGGTTCTATCTGCAAAAAGAGGATTCTGAGATAATTGGCTTTACAGTTCCAAACCCTCATTGGTTTGAATGGTGTCAGCAATTTTTATCTAGTATTCTTTTGAACTTAACAACATGAATTGGGGTATTTAGAGTACTATATAGGTAGATAACATTGAACAGAACGAGGCTATGTCAATAACTAAACCTTATAGTCCCAAGCTCTCGACATGGTAAGGGAGACCATGAGTGGTCAGTGGAAATATATTTAGGGTCAGGTTTGAGAGCTGTCCGGCTTTATTTGACATATGTTTAGTAAGTACAGTGACATTATTTAGATTTGTTGGATATAATTTTCATATGCAATAGTGAATAGGAAACATGGCTACTTAATTTACCAAGCATTCATAAATTGCATTGCAAAAAGGGAATGTTTTGTATTTCATAAATTGAAGTATACATACAAGTATACAATATAATATGTTTTTGTTAGGGCCCCATCTCTTGGAGGTGGAATGTACTTGCACGAAAGTAAGATGTAGATCTTGTACAATTTCATTCAGTGTCTTCCAAAAGACCCTACTTGAATGGTTTTGGATTCATTTTACCAGTTACTGCGTCATGTTAGGTCCCTAAATGTAAACTTTTCCATGTCACAGATGATGTATGTGCGTGAGTGAAAGCTGTTGGGTTGGGAGGATTAGTGGGCTTGTATTTCACCAACATGAATGGCAGTCACTCACTAGACCTCTAGCTATTCTGTCTTTTCTTACTCTTCTAATTTCAGCTTTGCATCTGTGCTTTGGTTTAACATAACGCCAAAAAACTAACATTATAAAAGGGATATTGAAATAAGCACAGTTACAGTAAAAAAGGTGAGTTTGGATTAACCACCCTGTCATTTTAAAGGTATCCATTTGTTATAGAGTTGCTTTCTTTCGTTCTGTATGTTATGTCTTTTTCATTTTCTTTTGTGTTTCTTTTTCATAGTGCACTCTCTGTAAGATTCATGTCAGTGCCATTAAAATGCCTTTTATCGTTACATTTGCGTTTCCTTGGTTGGTCTCTTCTGCATGCATTTTCAGATCCCATTCTGCTACTCTTTCCTTTTCCTCTACACCTTCTTTATGCTTGGCACAACTCTGTTCCCACCTTACCACTGCACCATATTTTCTGCAGAAAAATTACAAACACCCACATTCATTATTTTGCTACTTCCTAACTCAAATATGAACGCCAATGGATTTTTGGTTCAGATTTTTTAAACAGTAGGACATCTTATACTATTTTCAGTCATAGCGAAATACAAATAATACGTTCAATAATCACAGCCTGAAGGGAGTTTGAGAACATAATGTGAACTAGAATAGAGGAGAAAAAAAGTTGCAGGTACTCCATTTCACCTTCTAAACAACTGACATGTTTATTGGCATACCCAACATGCTTTTGTGCTGATAGAGTGGAGGTAGCTAGCTACCACTATTAGCACCATCTGTGGTTAAGTATCGTACATTCAAAATGGTGGAGAGCCTACCACTGTCCAATAATAGCTCACTGCTCACAGTCTATAAAAGCCTTGTTACAAGCCAGCTGCCCCTGCTTAGAAATATGATATGTTCCTCACCCGAACTCTAGAATCGAGGAAAGTGCTCAAAAAGCACATTCCCATCCCTGAAAGCATGGTGACAGAAGGGAATTTCCAGCTTGGACAACCTCATTGGATAAGATTGGAGAATGAGCAAGCTCTGACCTACAGTGTAAATGTTTACCCATCCGTCTTGCATCATCATGTCGTTTTGGGAGCCATGTCAGAGAGGTTGTCAAGGGGATGTCATCTGTTGAGTGGGAGTTTTAATATCAATTCGGTGCACACCGCAGGCACAGGCTATATCGGGAGGGAATTTGATCATCCCCACTTAAATGACCTGACTAGAAGGGTCCTATCCTGGCCTGTTGGCTACACCTGCTTCTTAATCTCACATAGATTTTATTTAGGTATTCTTCTTGGTTGTACCTTTTAATTTGAATAACTGTAAAATCCTTTATGTGTTATGGGAAAGGCTTTAAGTCGGAATAAAGACTAAACCATGGCAGGCTTATAGCTAAGGAATGGGACAGTTGCAGAATGAATGGAAAAACATTGATTGATGCACAACATGTTGTGTTTCCTGGTAAACTGAATGAGAGAAGACCCCAAAACTGTTTGTCAACAGATTTAATAGATTGCGCTTGCTTACAAACCAGTGACATAGGAACCAAGTGAAAAACACAGAAAATATAAAATCCCTGTGTACAGTAGCACTGTCACGCCAGCCCAGCAGACACCCTTTCCAATGGACCCAGCTGCCATGACATCATTAAAAGGCTAATGCTAGGTGGACTCCCCAATGGTGTGGTAGAGCCAGACTCAATGGTGCCCATCTAAATTTGACCTTCCCCCTAGTGTCACCCCCTCCAATCCCAGGCAGACACCCAAGCATTCCCTGCTGTGGCTGGAAATCAGCAATTAGTTCATGCCTTTCCTTCTATCATTGTCAGAGGCTATTTTAAGCGGCAGTAGGGGATTGAAATGCATAAATCTTGATAATCTGACCCATAACACTGATGCACCGTATGCGGAGCGAGTCGAACATCTGTCTGAAAACACAAAAACCTCTGACAAACATGCCATCTGGGACGTCCACTCCAAAGACCCACAGATGTAGGATCTGAATTTGAGGCAGTTTGCTACAGCAGGAAAATAATCCTGCAGCAACAGGAAATGTTAATTATTATGTGGACTATAATTAATGGCAATTTTTGTAGGGGTTGATCAATTTTTCGTAAGGGAAAATGAAGTCTGAAATTTCAAATGGAAATTACAAACTTCAAAATCCTTTTTAATCCTCAAATACACCACACGTTTTACATTTCCTGCATTGCAGAAAAGTCATCCTACAAAAGGTTGATCAAATTAAGATCCTACAACTGTACATGGCCTGTCCTGGGATATCATACGGTGTGAAGGCCAATTCCATTGTGCATCACCATGTATCTCCCTTACCTTTCGGAGGTGGTTTAAAGTGCAGGTTTGGTTGACTTGATTCCTGTCAAACTTGACAAAGCACTTGGATTAACATTAGATTTCACACTTATTCATACTCCACCCACATTTAACAACCGTCTATCTGTTAATTTTCATTTTCTATACATTATTAAATGCAGTAAGCTTGAGCTATGGTTTAGCAATGGAAAAAATAGGAAGTCAAATAGAATATGCGACAACAGGGGGACATTTTCCATAGATTATCATTTTCAAAATCTCCTACTGTATATCCCGATAAACAAATAAACCAAATGCAATAAAGGCAATATCCTTTCACGTGTACATATCCTCTTTAACATAATTATTGAATAAAACATGACCTAATGTAGCTACATTGTCTACTAATCTATTTAAGCACATTCATATGTGTCCCAGTCAAAATAGTGACAGCTAGATCGCAAAGACAATTATTGGACTCTTACAGCTTACCGGATATCTTGACTCACTAAACAAGTTAGTCATTGAATTTCCGCCCACAATGAAATGTACAATTCCATTTCATTTTGCTGCAATTGACTTCCCTCCCTTGCACGCTGTCCTATGATTCACAACATTCTATCTGAGCTGATATTATTGGCTGTTCTTACACTTATTCACCAGATGGCAGCACACTCCCTTCGGAGCGGTTTAAGTTACAGGAAGACTATTATGAACATACAAGAGATTCTGCCAGCATTGCCCAATCGACACACACATTTCCTCCGCCTGTGCAGGCATCCTAATGGGGACTTAAAAGGGACCTGTTCTTTGATACAATGAGAAGGACAAGATAATGGCCCTTGATGAGATTTGCCTTGAAAGTGATGCTGGTAATCCACAAAGCCAGTCAGATCCAATTTATATAAGATAAATGTGGTTGGAAACACACTCATAAACCAATTGTTGCGAGAAATCAAAAGTCGAGCAAGTGTTGGAATTGTGACAACACAAAATAGAAAAGTACACTCTTAGAAAAAAGGGTTCCAAAAGGGTTCTTCAGCTGTTCCCATAGGAAAACCCTTCCTGGTTCCAGGTAGAACCCTTTTTGGTTCCAGGCAGAACCCTTTTGGGTTCCATGTAGAACCCTCTGTAGAAAGGGCTCTACATGGAAACCAAAATAGTTTTACCTGGAACCAAAAAGGGTTCTTCAAATGGTTCTCCTTTTCTTCTAAGATTGTAGCTTCTTGAATAGGAATCTACTCTATCAAGTTTGATCCTGATTGTGGTAGAGTTGTCTTCCTTTAGAACATCAAGAGTTGTTTTGAGAATTGAGAGCAGGCCTTTGTACAGTGTGATAGCAGCGTGAATGTCAACTCCTAATATATCATGATTCTGGTTACCAAAATACTCCTCACATGATGTAGGACTGTGCCGTTTTTTTTAGCCATTTACTAAGAGAACACAAACAAATGATTTATAACATAACTATTGGTGAGAAGGGTGTTCAGAAATGAATGATCTCATTGATTTAGTTCGATTCTTCATCAATAATAATTTACCATATTAAAAATATTACTTGAAACATGACCTAACATGAAGTTTTACAGTTACACATGACTGCTTCTGTGAGAGAGTGAAGAGAATCCTGGATTATATGTGGGTATTAAATGCTCAAAGGATGCTCTCAAACTCATGTATGTCTAAGCCATTTTCCAAGTTCCACTGTGATTTGTTTTTTGCTGGAAGGATAGTCAGACAAGTGCTTAAAAATCAGCCCCTGTCTGAAGTAAACATGTCTGAATGTCTCTTTTCCAGGCATTTGGCAGGAGCTACTCTCTATCCCCGCCCGCCGCCAGAGCACTATCGCTGGGTCTCCGGTCATCATCTGGGTCCCCTTCCCTCTCATACAAACCCCGGGCCTCGTCTGCTCCAGCACCCCCGGGGAGGCAGATGTCCTGGCTGGACAGGAGTCACAAGCCTCCTACCCCCTGGGAGGCCGCAGCCCGCCACCCCATGGGCCTGGTCGACGAGGCCTTCGCCTTCCAGAACCTCCAGCAGGCCATCGCCTTCAACGTGTGCTTGGCTGCCCAGCGCAAGCTGCTCCCCGAGCCCCCTGCCGAGTGGAAGTCTAGGGTGTCCTACGATCCTCCTATGACTGAGGGATGCCAGACCCAGAGCCAGAGTTACAGCAGAGTTATGCCTCCGTTCCTGTCCCCAACCAAGAGCACGGCCTCAGCCCCCTCCGGTCCAGCTGGCTACAGGTCCCTGCCCAGACAGTTGCAGCCCCAGAGGTCCCTGACGGAGGCCAATATCGGGCACTGTGGGGCCAGTCATGGAAACGGAAGGCCCCTGGGGGGCCAGCAGCAGCCGAGCTACAGATCTGTGTACCACACCGACTGGAGCTGGAGACGCTAGAGGCAAACAAACATGATGGCCACTTATCTTCATAACAAGACCAGAAAGTAACTCCAAAATATTCAGATGAATAGTAGTAAGGACCATATACAGTACCAGTCAAAAGTTTGGACACACCTACTCATTTAAGGGTTTTTCTTTATTTTTACTATTTTTTATATTGTAGAATAATAGTGAAGACATCAAAACTATTAAATAACACATATGGAATCATGTAGTAACCAAAAAGTGTTAATCAAATCAAAATATACTTTATATTTGAGATTCTTCAAATAGCCACCCTTTGCCTTGATGACAGCTTTGCACTTGAGTAGGTGTGTCCAAACCTTTGACTGGTACTGTATATAATCAGCATAAAATAAAACTTGGGACAATGGGATAACACATTGGTTGAGGAGAGCGAGGGGATAGCTATTGAGTTTGTGGTGTGTACAGGAGAGAGATTGAAAGAGGTTGGATCTGCTTATTCGGTTTCACTGAGAATACTGCTAAGAATATACAGATGATAAGAGTAAATTTTTTGGTATTGGGGACACTGTCAATTATGGTTCTATTTTAGTCAAATGGGACGCTATTGAGCTTCACTTCATCAAGCTTTCTTTGGACAGAAATCAATGAGGACTGAAGCAGAGGCTTTCATTTCATCCATCACTGTGATGTGATAGTAGCATTCAAAGAAAGTGAAATCAATAGTATTTCTTCAGAGGAAGAAATGGGCATAAAGTATGTTGTAAGGCAGAATGTGCGATTGTCATGTATAAAAATGAAAGGATAGGAGTAATGAATGGACATGTACATTTGTGTCAAACCCCTTTATACAGAATGGCATCAAGCTTCTAACTCATCTAACAGGACTTCGCAAGGTATTATCCCAGTGATTACACTGTGGGCACCTGGAAAAATGATATCCAGTTATGTAACAGAGTTGACAATAGGTACATTAGAGAAAAGAGAGTGAGAGATGGAAATTGTGTTCTTGGACTTTGTTAAGTAGAGTACAGAATGTGTTATTTGCTGATGTCCGTGGCTGGTGAGAAATAGGCTTCAAGCAAATAGATAATGTAGAATAGGAAATGAATAATTGTAATTTGATTATGTGGTCATGGACATGGATGGTGTGGATCAAGTTGAATTGTGAGATACATCACTTGCGTTTGTCTGTGTTGCTTAATTCTTTCATGGATATTCATCAATCCAGAGTAAAGATTTTATGTGCGATTGCGATGGATCAAATTCTGAATTTTCATGTATCATCTCTTATTATTGCAAGGTTTGAAATTGTTGAACACTAGTTAGTATCTGTCATGTGATTTTACAAAGTTGTGTATGTGTGTCATCTGCAATGATATATTGGAGTGATGTTTTGGTGTTTTTTGTATTTTCTTTTTCATTTATTTTACACAAATACAGTATTTTCAGTCCAAACAATTACCTAATGTCTGTTTGAACTGATTCCGAAGTTCAAAGTGTACTTTTCGTCGGTTTTGATTTCATCATTTGATTTCTTCATTTTGATTTCAGTAGGGTACTATTCTGAGTAGGATGAGGCCTTTTGAAAAATAAAAAAAGCATATAACCACTGACAAAGTATTTTTCTTGTTTTGTTGTTGTGGGACTGACATGTTTCTAAGCTACTCCATCTTAATTCATCCCAGTTCTAATCTAGGTATCATCAAATCTAAATGGAATCATTATATCATTGTTTTTGTGCTGCTGGTAGGCCATGTGTTGCTAAAATGCTGTGTTTTATTCAAGTTTTATTAGTTGTATGTACGGGATACGCATGGTATACATTGTCCAACTAAATGATTACTTGCAGGTTCCTTCTCAACAATGCGACAACAATAAGAAATAATAAAAGATAAGAATACGAACATAAAGTAAATGGCAGTAGAATAGAATAAACATTTTAGCATCAGTATAATACAGGAAGACACAATTTATTGTCCAATATTTACACGTGTATTGGGGAAGGGAGACAATCAGTCTGGTAGCAGCTGTTGTGATGTTTGTGTGCATGAGTGAGTGCATGTGTGCTAAGGTGAGGAGATTCAGAGCAGGAGGTCAGTCCAGTTCAAGTTTTCAGCAGTCTGATTGCTTGTAGATAGAAATTGTCTCTGAGCCTGTTGGTATCAGACCTCATGCTCCAATACCGTCTTCCTGAGGGTAAGGGAGAGAACAGCTCATGGCTGGGGTGTGTGGGGTCCTTGACGATGCTGCGTGACTTCCTCAGGCACCGTTTTGAGTAGATGGTCTGGATGGGTGGGAGCACGGTCCCAGTGATGTACTAGGTCATCTTCACCACCCGCTGGAGGGCCTTACGGTCGTTGACGGAGCAATTCCTCGGTGATGTGGATGCCAAACACATAGGTCTCGACAGTACTGTCCTAAACTAGTTCACCTCATATCTTTCAAACCGCACACAATATGTTGACAACACACAGATCTACTGATGACACACAGATCTACATAAAAACAACCCCGGACTCCCTCTCTTCCATTAACAACCTCACAAGCTATCTGGATGACATCAAGGCCTGGATGTCAAACAACCTCCTACAACACAACAATAGTAAAACAGAAGTAATCCTCATCGGCACTATCCATCACACCAAAACCAGCCCCATCACCACTCTTACCCTTAGCAACCACTCCATCCCACTGTCCTCCTCAGTCTCCAACCTTGGAGTGTTACTGGATCCCTCCCTCACTTTCTCTGACCACAAAAAAAAACATCACCCAGCTTTGTCCTGTTCTCTCTAAACCTGATCTGGAAAAGCTGGTCAACTCCCTCGTCACCTCCCGACTCGATTACTGCAATGCCCCCCTCCCCTCAAAAAGCATCCACAGGCTGCAGCTTGTGCAGAACAGCGCTGCCAGGGTCCTCACAGGAACCCAGAGATCTGCCCACATCACCCCCATTCTAGCCTCTCTCCACAGGCTACCCATTCAATTCAGAATCAACTTCAAAATCCTCCTGTTAGTCTTCAAAACCCTCAATGCCTCTGCTCTCCAATACCTCAGTGAACTCCTCAGCCCTAAAGAGTCTTCACGGTCACTCTGGTCAAGTGATCAAAGACTCTTTGCCGTCCCCCCACCTCAACATGCCCCAGACCACCACGGCCTTTAAGTCTGAGCTAAAGAATCACTTCTTCAAACTGTCTTTCACTTAATATGATCTATATTGTGGTGTCAGTTGTTGGTCTTATGCGTTCGTTTCGAGTTCGATTGTTCTGTCCTCGTCGCCTCCTTTATTATTTTGTGTGTATTGTATAGTATTGTATAGTACTTGAACACAGCTATCGTTAAATGTCTTTAGCCGTTTTATCAAAGCAATTTTATTTTAATGGTTGCTCTCAATGTAAAGAGCTTTGGGATTTACATCTGTAAATGAAAAGCGTTCTACAAAATGTGATTTATTATTATAACACACGTGAATTCCTTCTGCATATAGTGGGGTCGGCATTTTTGCATCAGAAACTCCAGGACGGGTGAACAGGAACTCGCGATTTCTTCAACTTCGGTACACCAGGAATTGTTTATGAGGAAACATACCCCTCCTCCCGACTCTTACCAGAAGCCGCCGTTCTAACCATTCGGAATATGGAGAAGCTGTCTGGTTGAATAGCAGAGTCGAGTGTATCGTCCGTAAGCCACGTCTCAGTAAAAACAAAGACACAGCATTCCCTGATGTCCCTCTGCGATTGAAGCTTTGCTCTGAGTTCAAAGTTTATTTTCCAGCGATTGGACATTAGCCATCAGGATACTAGGAAGAGGAGGTTGTCTTTTCAGCCTAGCTTTGAGTCTCCTTTTCCTTCATCTTCTTTTTAGCCGGCGTTGCCTTAGGCCATCTCAGCCAGGAGCAACAGGTAAACCCGCTGTGCGAATGTAGTAATCCAGATCTGGGAGGCTGAGAGATAAGTGTGTAGCTTCCGTTTCATGATCAAGAAGTGTTTGTCGGCCGTAGGAAATCATTGCACGAACATTCTGAGTAAAGAAAGTAATAACTAATGCAAAAATAGCCATACAAAAGTTACGTCGAGCAGGAACCGCCGCTATCTTACTAGCTGTGTGTGCAGCTCTGTCCTTGATGTTTAGTCCCTCTGAGTCACACGCTCTATAGCCATTGGGTAGGGGTTGTTAAGGGGACTTGTTGCCTAGGAGACAGTTACATAATGGCAGGGGGCCTACAGTAGCTGGGCTATGGAGAGTGGTACAGCATTAGAACAAAAGAGCGGTCCTGTCCCACTCTCTTAGCATGTGATGATGCTTCAACCTCTAAGTTTGATGCCACGAAGTAAGATAACGCAACAGTCAGCAATTGAGTTGGATAGATTAGAATAGGATAGGATAGAATAGAATGGAATAGAATATAAATAGTGAAGAACTGTGAATGTTGTTCAACACACTCCTCAACATCCCTTGTTTCTGTTTTGGAAAAATATAGAGGATGGGCGTGGAGAAATTTAAACACTCTCAAATTCATAGACAGAGCCATGGATGCAATGACTGACCATCCAATATATTAAAAAGATAGTGTTAAGCATGTTTTGAAGCTATACAGTGTTTGTTTACAAACATTGGAGTAAAACAAGCTTTATGATGGGGTATGACGGTGGATCTAAGCTCATAAGACATTTATAATTCTTCAACAGTCAATGGGTATACATAATTCATTTATAGGTCAAAAAATTGATGTAGCAACTGCAGATTGCCCCTTTAAGACATATATAATTATATTAGTGTTTGTGGATGAATTGACTTCTGCCAGATGCCTTTTACGAAGTTATAGCTCATTGAAGGCCATTCAAAAAGCCTATAAAAGTTCAAAAACGACAAGGCTGAGGGGAAGTTATGTCCTGATAACTGAACTTTTGGTAGTCCCATAGTCATTGATGTATTTGGTGCACCGGAAATATAAAACCCCACTCTCAATTACCTCTACTGCCACCTAGGGCCCAATACCAAAACGGTTCCTTTCAGCAGCTTAGGAAGAGTTT